ACACATTGCCGCCCGCCCAATGAGTACCTATCAACTTGCTGGTGTTTGTTGTTGCTCTTATTTAAATTACTTTGTTTTGTTGGCATTCGGTAAATGTAGGTATGTACGAGTATGTGTTAATGTACCCGTATCTGTGTGTGTGTTTGCTTTCGTTGTTTGTCAAGTTTAGCGCTTCTTTGCATCTAATTGCCATTTCTCATGCAATTTACTTAATGAACTCTCTTTGTTTTTTTTGCTTTTGTTTCGTGCGTTTGGCCCGGCGTTCACTGACCCATCGACTCCGCTCGATACAATTCCATTCGATGCCTTCGATCCGGTCTGTCGATCGTTTGTTGTCTTCCAATTGAATCAATCAGTCAGTCACTTGAGCAAGCACATATTGAACATTTCTCAAAAAGAATTATTTCTACATATTGTGTAATTAGACAATTCCGTATCCGTTCAGTGCGGTGTAGGTAAAACATGAGATATATCATTTTTTAATTGCTTTGTTTATCCTATCTTATAATAAGTCAATTAAAGCTTAGTAAATAATTGTCGAAAGAAAAACAGAAAGGTTTCGAACGTTATTTTTTCAGATTTATATCTGTTTTGGAAAGATTTAATCATTCATATTTTTGCTTTGTCAAATATCCATGGAAGTTTTTGCAATCAGCATGACAAACAATAATTTAATTATTTATTGATTAGATATAATGAAGTACGAGTATCTGTGTATAACTACACTTTCCGTTTATATTTTCCACAAAGCGGTGGCAAAAATATAGTATTATCAGCATAAAAACAAAACAAATAGTAAAGAAATGTCATGGTTAAACAGCGTATTTGTAGCCCACTTTTGAGAGTGTACAAAAATCAAGTATACGGCTCTGAATTAACCACTTCAAATGGGTTGAAAATTTTCTTTCGGACATTTTTTAAATGATCATTGGTTTAATATTAATCGAAAAATAACAAAAATATTAAATATTAATTTCAAATATTAAATATGAAGTATTCGACCCGTTAGGCCCCGCTTTACCCTTTTTCTAATTGTCCATTACGAATCGGGGCAAAACTTTCGGAAGAAACTTTTGAAATCTGATTCCAATAAAGTTTGGAACATGATTTGTGCGGTTTTTCCAAAGAGTTTGCGCAGGCTGTTGCTGCCTCTTCAGTTCCTGTTCAACTGTGCTTTTTCACGTGCGCAGGGGAATACTTAATACAATCATACCAATACACAGATACACACCTACAAAAAACTCACAGTGCACACAGAGGTACACTCAACAATTTTAGCTTGATGTTAATTAAATTTTTTATTTTCGTTTTGAGATATATCCAGACTGTTTTTCACCCTCGCGTTGCCCCCTTTTAACGTTTGTTCATGTGTTGTACAATGTATAGTTCGCGCACTTTGGCGTTCGTTTTCGCGGCTTTTAGCAAATTCTCTGTGTTCATTTTTTTTAAATTGCTTTTGCCCACAGAAGCAACAGCAAAACAGCACTTTAAAGCAGATCAAAACGGCAACCGCAGAAATACTCTTCAAGCTCTAAGTAATTCTCTTTTACAGTATTCGCTTTTGCGTGTCGAGTTTGAATGTGTATACCGTCATGTGAGATGGTAGTAGTTGCGAAGAAAGAAGTGCTTAATTAGTTACAACTTTTTTGGAAATAGAGGAAAGAAGGAAAATGTTTTTCCAAGAACACTTGGCCATGTATAACTGTAGTTCCATCTGCCCGTGCATACCCTTCCACACAACTATATGCATAGTACCAGGTCTATGCACAAAGACACTTTCTAAGACATGCAAGTGCATGTACCTACAATTGTGGGCATGCCAATTTGTACGCACATAACGAAGCGGCTGGCACAGGCACATGCATACCAATACGGACAGAGACAGAGACAAATACCTATAACAATATGTCACAATTTGTGGGGATGGAGAGTGCCGAGCAGCTAGAGGTCTATAGACTACAGCCAGCCCCATAAATTTGATTAAATAAAGTTATAGTTTTTGCGCTTTTTGACGGTGCTTTCTTCCTTTTCTCTCTCTCTCTCTCTCTCTCTCTCTCTCTCTCTCTCTCTATCTCTATCTGTTCTTATGTGCAATCTGAGTGTCTGCAGCCTATGTGTCGTGCTGCTCGGTCTCTTGTGTTCTCTGGCTCGCCCCGCATTCATTCGCTCTGTTCGTTTTCTATTTGGCACAAGGAATGCGACAAAAACTATGTTAGATGAACAAGCAATAAACCATAAATTTCTTGTCAGCCTACAAGAACAAATAAAAAAGCACAACAACAACAACACACACACAAGCGGTTAAACGTTTAGGGCTTGCCTCTTGGACGGAAGAATCTGTAATCTGAGAGAGTAGAAGGGCCGAAAAGGCAAAGCGAAAACGAAAGAAGAGGCAAGGAAATACTAAGGTGTGTTTTATGCTTTGCCTAGGGCTGCCCAAAGTGTATAAATGTTTAGTATGTTCTTCACTTTTGGTAAAGTTTTGCTTAACGTTGCTGTAAACTACTGTGCCCACTGTACTTTTTGGGAAATACATACAAATTACTGCATCTTTTTAGGTAATAGTTGAGCATTTTATCTTTTTGAACGTAAGCTTAAAGAGACAGTTACAATTTGGACCATGTCGGAAGCCTTGGCACCTGTACGTGAGCCTGTCTGTGTGTGTGCGTGACAGTGTTGTATAAATTTGTAATATTTCTCAGCTGTGGCCCCGTTGTCGTCCGTCTACCGGCTTGCAATATGCTTCCCTTGGCTGACATTTCTCCCCTGAAGACTCTCTTCGCCGTCTCGTTTGCTCTGTAATGTTGGTGTGTGTGTGTGTTTGTGTGTGTGTGTGTGAGTGCTGTCCAAAGTGACAAAAGCATTTTCGGCGAGCATTGGGTGGCTAAATGCGAGATGGGTGCTTTCACTTGGCGGGGTAAATGCGGCACCGCGACTAGCGCATGTAACATTTATGGCATACCCTTGCTCAAAGAGTATTATGATTATTGTCTCGACTTTTGCAATCGTTTGAAGTAAACTGAAATCTGGAAAATTTATATCTATAAAACTTAACCAAAATGTATATTTTCTACAAGTGGAATTTTGTAGGGTATCAAAAGTATCAAACCCCTGGAGACCTGCACAATAAATTGTTGCTGTAGTTGCTTTCTGCAGATGTGTCTGGGTGTGTGTTTGTGAGTGCGGAAAAATCTACATTTCTTTGCGCTTAATTTTTCCACAGACAGAACAAAAGGCGTGTAGGCCAGGCAGGCTGGCTGGCAGACAGGCAGGGAGAAAGAAAAAGGCAGGAAAATGTCAGCAGATGGCGAAAAGAGACGTAAACATACTCGTAATTTAAATACAGTTATGTACAGTACGAGTGTATGCAAAGGCTGACTGACTGACTGACTGACGGATGTGTGTGTGGGCCTGAACGAAAGTGGGGAAAACGGAGGAACGGAGAAACGTGCGTTGACATGTTGGCGCGATAAGGATAAAGAAATTGTCCGTTTGGATGACTCGTTTAATCAGCAGATAAGATTGTGTGTTTATACTTTACGCGTTTTGTAATACATCCGCGCTAACACAACATCCGCTCTCTTTATATACTACAATTACAAAAATATTTATGGATATTTTAGTCCCTTTGTTATCAAAACATACAGTCGCACTCGACGATAACAATTCTGATGCCGAGCCGTGTTGCCAACAAAATCCAACAAGTTAATGGCACAAGGTTGCATCATGGCCAGGTCTTGGGGGTGGTAACGGGCGGGTTTATGCAGTTCAAACCGGTGCCATCATTGACGTCATTGTTGAGGGAGGGTTCTTGGCTTGGCTGACGATGCATTTCATACCAGACAGCCATTGACGTCATCGTTACGGTTATCTATGTAGAAAAACTTTTGATCAAAAGAAGAAATTGACATCTGTAGCGTCAGGGTGTAACCTAAACATGTTTTGAAACGTTATTGTTGATTTATTTCCTGCAAATGGTACAGACTGATGGATAAGTCCCTGAAAAAATGATGACTTTTGATGTCTTAGGGGAGAAAAATAATTAGAATCCATCCAACAGCATAAAGTTTATCCAAATTCAATTCGTTTCTATAATATTGCTATTATGTTTTGACAAACAAAGAGCGAACCTTCAGATGTACATTTCTCATATATATTTAAATGTGGAACAGCCATGACTCGACTACTAATCTATCTCTCCAGTTTCCAGACACAAAGCTTTCCCACTCTCTTTCTCTGTTTCAAAAGTTGTCTCTCAACTCTCTAAAACAACTCAAAATTGATTCTCCTCTCTACCACAACACAACAATTAAAATCTCTCTTTCTACCTGTCCCCCTTTCCCACCAAAAATATCGATTAAGTTTCGGTAAATCACTCAGAGTGTAGTCCAACCAATGCCCATTTATCGATACATAAATTAATGTTAATTTCCAGTATTTGAGAAAAAAAATTTTCTCGGTTATAATTCTATTTAAGATTTATTTATTTTTGTTTCGTTAGGTTTTTGTGTGTTTTTTCCTATGAAAATATGTACATGTGTAAGTGTGTGTTTTATTAGCCCCCCCCCCCCACAGCATAAGAATTTCGATCAAATAAATTCCACAACATTGATTGATATATACATTGTACTACATATATATTTTGCAACTTGGCGCTGAAATCAAATAATCGCTTGAAACTACAGGATCAACCAGCAATTAATTCCAACCATAAAAACAAAAGAAACCAATAGAAAGAAAAACCACCTAAATATAAGCCCACCATTAATCGTTAGCATACAGCTACTATCTGATTATATAGATTATATATGTATTCAATTATCTTTTAGATTTATTTTTGGGTTTCCACTTTTTTTTTTTATTTATTCTTATGGTTTTCTAAGTTTGGATCGAGTCAAATACTTGTAACCGATCTTGTCACTGATCTCTGTGTAATATTTCATCCGTGACCCCCCCCTTTAAAAATGCTGCTGCTGATTGTTTTCCCCATATTGGAGTAGCCAATGACCTTCTGGTGGACACCAGCGATGAGGGTGGAGCCTCCGCCAGCTCCGCGGAGTTGTTTGAGGTGACGCCAGCCATCTACTACGGCGATTCGAATGTGAATCTGGGCGAACCCTTCTCGATAACCTGCATCATACCGATCACGGAGAAGATCCATTGGCTCAAGAACGGGGAGCCCATAACGCGTCACAATCTGCGGCATGGACGGGACGAGCATGCCTACACTTTGGCGGAGAGCGCCATCGAGGGTGAGTATCTCCTAGCTCCGGGGGCGGAAATGCGGATACCGGTCTGACCCTGAACTTTCTTCGACCGACTTGAAGGTGAGAAGCACAAGATCGAGGCGCATCTGAGTGTGCGGCATGCACTGAAGGTGCACGAGGGACGGTACCAGTGCAATCATCGACATGGCAGCTACCACATGCTGCATGTACGCGGTGCAGCATCGCCCGGAGGTGGCGAGGCCACAGAGTCTGGCTATCAGACCATTGACGAACTGACGCCAAATTCGGCGGATGATATCTTCACAAGAACGTGGCTGGAGCAGCAGCAAACGGGAGTAGCAGTGACGCCCACTCATCATCAGCAGCAGCCGGAGCAGCATCAGCATCCGTACCAGCACAAGCAGCACAAGACGCATCCGTTCTATGGGAATACCAGCAGCGGCAGCTCACGGGGGGATCTGTACGCCCCAGGCCCGCCGCCCACTAGTCGGTACAACGATCTGACCACACTGCCCTGGCATCCATCCTCGACTGCGACGGGTGTCCATGGTCTGGGCAGTGGCGGCATTCATCGTGTGTATTCGGCCACGCCGCCCGATTTCCCGCCACCACGCCTTAACATGATGGAGCACACTGTGGCACCGCCAGAGCCACCCACCATTCTGTACAATCAGACGCTGCCGCATCATCGACAGCATCAGCCAATCACAGCTATTGCCACTGCCACGGCCACCGATTCGAGTGCCGGCTCCTACGGTTCCCCCTCATCCACGCTCCTGTCCACGGCGCACCATCACTCGCACCACCAGCAGCAGCTGCAGCAGCAGGCGCAGCATACGTTGAATGCCTTCCAGCTCCCGCTGCCGCCGCCAGTGCCGTATCCAGCTCAGAGTCCAGCAGCTCCGGTTCCAGTTCCAGCTCAAAATGAGAGATATCAGACATATGCGCCGCACTTTGTGCCACCAGCGGTGGGGGGCGGTGCAGCAACAGTAGCAACAACAGCAACAATCGCTTCGATGGGTGGTCAAATGAGGCAACAGCCCAAGACGGTCTTGCCTGTTAAATTGGGTGAGCCACACTCGCACACAACACTCACATAAACACACACACACACTAATACTCATTAAAAGTTGAACTTGTAATTTGTCCACATTTGTTGTTGTTGTTCGTTTGTTGTTATTTGGCTTTGCTCTCTCGCAAATCGTAAAAGAGTACGTCATACGCTGCAAAAACAAAAACGCTGCGTCGTCATTACCACAGTCAGTCTCTCACTCTCTTTGTATTTGTCACATTTTAAAAACTGCATTGACATCAGCTTACATGCAAGGTGTATTTATATTTGAGGTAGATCCAGGCACAGCCATAGCAGCGCGCCCACTGACACAGTCTCACCTCACATAAATAAACCTTGAGCTCATCAGCTTACGCATCGCTGCATATCTCCCACTCACCACTGCAATCACTCTCTCGCTCTCTCATTCGTTCGTTCTATCCCTCTTCTGTTACCCTCCCTCCATTGCATTAACCGCTAGTCTAATTTTTCGGTGTTGTTGGTTTTTATTAATCTGTTAATCGCTCGCCTAGCTGCTAGCTCGTTCGCTCTTGTTCTCCCTCTCGCTCTCTTTCTCTGTGGTTCACCCTGTTTGCTCTCCGGCTCCCACACACAAAACAACATCCACACCCACACATATGGTAACACCTTTAAGTTTAAGCTCCAGTTGATGTGTGTGTTTGCTTGAACCTTTTTCAACAATTGTTTTCTTTTTGTTTTTGCCAAATCGTCTTCTTCTTTTTGACTTTATTTCTTATCGCCTGAGTAGCTGTATCTCTCTCTCTCTCTCTCTATCTTTGTGTGTTTATACCCTTTCAGCAGAAATAAGTTTGTAACATAGGAAAGAAACCTTTTTCGCACTCCAACTGTAAAATATATTTTCATGTATTTTTGATACAGCCATGTTTGCCGTTCCGTCTGTCTGTTTTAAATACACTAGACTCTTTCTTATATATTTATGTTATAAATTCGGATCCCCAAAACATAGAAACACTTTTATTAAGAAGCTATGGCTTCATTTGTTTTTACATAACTGACTCAAAGTTGATTAATATCTTATTACCATAAAAGTCATATTATAGTGCAAATTATACAAATATAATTCCTTCAATTATATGTAAATTGTATGTAAATTACATATGTATGTAGCTAGGGTGTCAAAAGCTTCGACCTCCAAAGCCAAATTTATTTTGTCTTTGCTTTCTTCCTTTTTCTTTCATTATTTTCTTCTATATCTTTTTGTCCTTGTGCTTTAGTTGTTTACTTTGGTTGAACACACAGTTGGCAGGTGCACCAGCGTCGATTTCGATTTCGGTTTCAATTTGATTGGCAGCCCCCACTTTACAATGACGCATCATTTTACAATTGGCAACGTTTTGTGATTGGCCTTGGCTAGCTTATTTTTTACCGCCGATAAGAAAACTTAACAACCGATACAAAAAATACGAAATGTCGAAAGCAGTACGAGTAATGACACTTGGTTGAAACTTTTACTTGAAGGACATAGTAAGCTGCTTTCAATGTTGTGCTTATACTTCTATTTTGGTCTACAGCTTCAAAGAATAAGATGCTGCTTGTTTAATTAATCAATCTACTATTTGTAAAAGATAAATCTTTTACCTCTCTGCTGCTTTTCATTCTTGTAAATTGCTTTTCAATACAGCGGTTTCCTATCAGCTATCAGATAATTTTACTGGTTCTCAGACTATTACTCAGCTTTCTCGATAATTTATATTTAATCTACTTCCAGACAGCTTGAAAATATTATAATAAGCTAATTTTCAGTCAACAAACTTGTTAGAATTTCAACTAAATGTCATACACTTTTTTCATGTTGTTTCTATTGCTACTATTGATACCAACTCATTTTGTAGCTTAATCGTATATCGTATATCGATAAAATTATAAATCAATCAACTTTTGCTCTACTATTTTACATTGCAGCTAACTTTACCAATAAAAAAATTAATTAAAACGATACATAAAAAATAACGAAAAAACACCACAAGCAAATCAATCAATCAACATAAACGTAAATAATCGATAAAATAATCTCTCAATTCTCATCTGCAGCGTAAAAGTCAAATTTATTTGATTTCAGACCAAGTTTCAAAATAGTATCAATAAATATATACCTTTTCATATACTCGTACCATATGTTAAACAGAGAACCAAATAAATTCGATTTACACCCAAAAAATGTATGCTCTTTTATTTTATTTGATTACTTAGTTTTAGTTAAATAAATATATAATTTCTACATTTTTTTTGCCATCTCTCCCTAGTCTATTGTTTAGTCTTAGTGAATTGTGAATTAAGTTGCTAATTTTGTATTATTTCCATAAGCAAATATTTAGTAAAAATAAAACAACCAGAAACCTCCAGCTCTCATCTCTCAGAACCAACCTCAGAAATATCTTAACACCCAAAAAAAAAAAAAAAAACAGCCAGCTCCACCTCTCATACTTTAAGCTCGTTCCTCGATTTATTCCTATATATATATTATACATACAACAAAATATTATTAATAATATAAAATTCTTCATGTAATCGTTTTTCTTGTATTAGAATGCATTTAACTTTACGACGACGATGCCTTATAAACATGAAACTAATTTGTTTCTTTTATGTTTGTTCTATTTCTTGACCTTCTACCATAGATACGTTGGTGCCAAATTACGACAATGTCGAGCATCGAATGAAATTTTATGATATTAGAGGACCGCTGGTGCTCTCCTGCAAAACCGAATCAACAGACCCGCTTATATGGTAAGTCATCAAAAAATATAATTTACCACTACCCCCCAAAAAATGCCAGCGAAGGGATGGTACTGGCAGTGGAGGATGGAGAAGAGACTATGTCCCACATAGTTAGTAGTTATAAGAGCAATCATTTTTATACGGCACAGCTAAGCACTTTTGCTTAATTATGTTGGCCTGACTGACTAACTGACTCTTCTGGGCTGACTGCCTCACTGCCTGACTTGACTGACATAACCTGGTAACAACGTTCCGTTCCATTCCGTTCTGTCTGTGTGGTTGAGTGGTGGTTGAGGTTCGCTCTGCAGTGGAGGGAGGGCCCTAGGGGTGTGGTGCCTGTAAAGTGCCTTCCTGTCTGTGACTGTGACTGGTGGTTGGGGCTCTGGCTCTGGTGTAATGGTAATGACACTTTTGTTCATTCCAGAACCCCTTGTCTGGGGGCCAGGGCCAAAAACTTTGCGTGTGCCGCCTCGCTGCGGAATTAGTCTTTGAATAATTGGCAAAAAAACAGCACCAAGTTCCTCCTCAAGAAGGTTATTTCGCGCTCTATCCGATAACTATAGAATTCATTTAAATAAATGAGTTTTTTTGTTCTCAACAAAGAGGATAGTGTAGGAGAACTATTTAACAAACTTTTAAGGGGAAATAAAATAAAAAATCGCATAGTAAAAGCTCTTAGGTTTTTGCACTACAAATGGTTCCTTTGGGAATATCGCTTAAGATAGAAATGGTTGAGATTGTAATTATACACATTTTGGGAGGTCTAGGTAGATTTTCACTCTTGGGAACTTGCTGTCCGTAAAATGTCGACTTCTACGTACATAAAAAAATGTTGAAACCCACTTATGGGCGTGAATTAAATGGATCATCAATGTGAATTTTATTTACACAACAAATGTTTTGTTTCTGGGCATTTTTTGTTGATGCGCAGGGCTGGGGTCGGTTGATGAAAACCCAAACTAGGAAGCACAGGGAACAATTGAATGGACCGACTACAAATGGGAAAGAGCTACCCGTTCACTGTTCCCCAACAGTTCACATTATTCATATTCATATCCATATCTTATTTAAAAATAATTCCTGATTCCATTTCCCTTTATAGGAAAAAGAACCACACCAACGTGATGAACGTAGATGTGCTGAAGGGTCGCTTTAAGTTAATCAATGACGAGAAGAAGTTCATCATCGATAGAGCGGAAGCGCACGATGATGGCCTCTACAGTTGTGAGGTCAATGGGGAGTCCAGGGATATCAATGCTGTTGGTGAGTAGAACGATAGTCCCCCACAAATAAGACCAAACACTAACCAAACAATGAATATTGTAACCTGCAGCTCGCGTTGTTGTACGAGTGCCTTCAAATACAGCCGTTGTGGAGGGTGAAAAAATGTCAGTTACCTGCTCTGTCTTGGGTACTGCACCGCAATTGTCATGGACTTTTGGTAAGAAATTTTTGTTGGTTTTACTTCAATGATCTTTACGGAGAGTTTATTTGTATATTCTTTTTTTTTTTTGTGTGGCAGGCAATGTAACGCTAAAAAACAATACAGATCGCTTTGTACTGAAAGCTGAGAACAATATTGAGAACGCCATTCTGACAATGGACAATGTTACTTTGGATGATAGAGGCGAGTACAAATGCATTGGACGCAATGCGGCCAATGATTATGGAAACAGCACTGTTGCCAGCGACTTTACAACTGTGCGTGTTAAGGGTAAGTCAATATATCGTTTTATAAATAGATTTTGTTACCCAAAATGAATCTTTATTAAATTGTCACTGTTAATTTTGTAGGCAAATTTGCCGCCTTGTGGCCTTTCCTGGGCATCTGCGCTGAGGTGCTTATTCTCTGCTTGATCATTCTCATCTATGAGAAGCGACGCAACAAGAGTGAACTGGAGGAGAGTGATACTGATCCCCAAGAACAGTAAGTTTGCCAAATATCCAATCCGCCAATACAACAGCCACAACAGCCAACACCAACACACAAAAAACAACAACAAACAAAAGCAGACAACATCAACAACAAGAAACAACTGTCAAACCACAACAAAAAAAAGAACACCAAATATTATTAAACACAAACAAAACAAAATGCAGCAGAAAAGGGAAACAGAAAAGTTGAAATTTTTTTAGATATACTATAAATACTGCAAATTAAAGACGTTGAAGCTGCAGTCAATGCAGAACAGACAAAAAACATAACACCTTGAAATTACGGAGACACAGAAGCAACGTACTTATATAAATACATAATGACGGACGGGGACAGAGACAGAGACAGACCAACTGACAAACATATGGCACGGACACGGACACAGCGGCAGCAGCTACAACAATTAGTGAAATTTTCTTAGTTAACAATTTTTTTAATAACTACAAAAAACATTTAAAATGAAAAGTGAATGAAGAATAATTAAAGTTAACAAAAGAAGTTTAGATATGGAACTATGTATATGGATGGCATAATCTTTGCTAATTTTTTGTATTATACGATGGAAAAGTGAAAAGAGAAGAGAATGTGAACACAAAGCCTAAACCTAAACTGGTAGATCTTTATAATTTCTTCAATGTGTGCTAAGCGATAAGGGATATATGCCTGAGCAGCATATATTTTTTTGATGCGCCCTACAAACCTCTCTGACAAACACAAAACGGAAACGGAAACAGATTACACACACACAAACAAACAAACACAACACTCAAAACAAATACACACACCCGAAGAGATGGAAAAACAAATAAAACATATGTAGTTTTCTAGCTCTAAAATAAGATAATTACTCGTATAATTCATCATATAAATCGCCGCCGCCTTAAAGTTTTCTTTTTGCCTTTTTCCAATCGAAAAACAATTAATAATACAAAATAGTTTATATGTATGTTTTTCGCTGTGCTTGTTTCTGTTGCCCGAAAAAACACACACACACACATACCTTTTCTTCTTTTTTATATCAAAGTCCAGTCCATATTATAATGATTATTATATCGTGTAAAAGAATACAAACAAAAATGTTATCAACTTTTGTTTTTAAGTACTTATTGTTTAATTGTATACATTAAAAAAACAAAAACACACCACAAATTTCGAAATTTGGAGAGATACGAAACCAGATTTAATCGTTACTTATGTATATTATTAATGACTATATAAGCTTATTAATATCTCGGCAGTTAAACACACACACACACACTTAGCTTCACACCTTTTTGCATTGATTTTGAATAATAATTAGAATTATTTGTATATTGTACACACACACACACACAAAAGAAAAAATAAGAGTATTTTCCCTAAGCCCGAGTACACCCAGTCTCGCCTGTACCCCTCCTCCCTACCCCCGCACTTTACTAGTATGTTTAATTTCTCCTTTAGTTGTCGCCTCTGATTTTTGTTGATTTCTCGCTGTGTATACATTTTTGAATGACTCTAATTCTATTGTACGAGTATATCTAGTATCTGAACACTTGTGCTATTGTTTACCGACTATTATTACCTTATTCATTATAATTTTGTGCGTTTTGAGATTGATTTCAACTGAAATATAAAACAAACAAACAGACCAGAAAAAAATACAATTGTAAATTAAACAAAAAAAGGATTAAAAAAATAAAATAAAACAAAACAAAAAAAGAACAAAAACCAATCAATCTGCATTTTTAATTTTTTATTTATCAGTGAATAATTTTTATTTTTCCTTAGATCCTGAGTTTTTTGCACTGAAGCTTGCTGTGGGGAATACCCCTAATAATTGGATTTGTGTTACATTTTATCTGTCGGTGTATATATGTATAGTATATATTATTTTCTTAGAGATCCTGAGTTTTTTGCATTGCTTGCTCTGGAGTACATCCAAGGATTGGATTGTACTTACATATTTTTTGTTCTCTTTTGTTTTTTATTGGCTCCCTTTACGCTTGAATTGCTTTTGGTAACCACTGTGCGTGATTCGTCGTAGTCGATAATCATGGAAAGCTAATCAAACGTCTTCTCCATTCTTTTCTTATTTTTCCCATTAATATCCGTATAAATATAAACCGAAATTTCCTTTGGGTAGTTGATCAAATTCATTCTCTACTCGTAGTTTAACGAAAATTGAATTAAAAGAAAAGCTAACATAGGAGACAGCCTGCAGCTTGATTCGATCGATTAATTGGTTGACTGTACTCTGCAAATCATCATCACAACTAACCTTAAAGATCCTCGCTCCCCAATAATCAATCAAAAACCAAATACCAAAACCAAATTGCGATCAAATCACATCTTCAACCCGCCTTGACTAACCAAAATCTGATCCAAAATGTGCCCAGCGTCGTAACTAACATCAAGATCAACTACAACAACAACTCCAACAACAACAACAATCACAACAATAATTTATAATAATAGTTATGATTATAGCAATAGCAACAATAATAACAAAAACAACTGCAAGGCAACTGCAACCAGCAACCAGCAAACCAAGCTAGAAAACAAAACAAAAAGTAGCATAATGTTTGTACTAACTTGTATCAAATTCTGTATTATTTTAAATATTTTATTTTGGTGCATAGAATCTTTTATTGATTGATTGATTGATTGCCACTTTAATTCCCCACTCTCTCCTTTCTAATTTTTAATCTTTAATCCTTTTTTCAATTGAATTTCCAAGCAACCACAAACCAAACACAACGAAAACTAATTCAATCGATTTTGCAATTTGTTTCTATTGCAGGAAAAAGAAAAGGAGAAATTATGATTAAATTTCCTAAACAGAACATCATACAAAATAATAACAGACAAAACAAAAATGAAGATTTAAATATTGAGCATAAACCAATAACAGAGAGGAAAACCCCATGCATTACATAAAATTAAAATACATAAAACTAGCAAAAATGAGATAACAAATTGAAGGTTCAAGAACATACAAACATAAGTGGATAACAGTCAGTCACAAGAGCCTATACCTATGTCCCAACTCAGCCCATCTTTCATCTATCTATCTATTTCCTGTCCCCGTCCTGTAGTGTTCCCAGAAACTGCAAGAAACTTTTGTTTAGTGAAATTGTATTTTATTAAAGTATGAAAAAAATCAAACCATTAATATTAAACAAAACTAAAAAGGAAAAACTGAAATTAATATTAAAAATGGAAAGTGATAGCAGTTAAACGAACACTAAATGGAATATCTTACATAAATACAAATAATAATTTCTGGACTGTAGAAACCTAAAAGAAAACACAGGACCCCCCAACTTCACTCTATTCACTCCACACCACTCCAGACCCACTCAATCTCGCAAGTCATGCAAGAGAACGAAGAAAATAATATTGTACATAATCACAAAACTTGAATGTAAAATGGTAGAAACAAAAGGAAAGCAAAATAAGGGAATTCTACTGTGTCTACGTACCAACGGCCCTCTCTCTGTCTCTATCGCTTGCTCTCTCTCTCAGTATCCCAGCAAGGATCTTTTCTATTACTATGATTTCTTAGGTAGCTATATTTTGAGGTTAGGCTTTACTTGGGCCACGTGGCGATCGATACAGAAACAATAACAGATAAATGGCGGCGAATGGCTAGAGGAAGATCAGCCGCAGCAACAGCAGCAAAAGTAAATGGAAGAAAAATGGAACACTGTTAAATGAGAAGGCGATGTTAAAAAAAGAACTTTGTTTATTAAACTTAGTTAATATACATATATAAATGATGAACAAAATGAAGAATGAACTTTTTAAACAATTAAGTAGCGCGTTATGGGTATATTTTTAAAGGATTAATACCGGAAGTAGTTGACGGATGAAGAAGCGAGAACATTGTATATTGCATAATTTTAGAAGAACAAAAAACAAAAAAACAAATCTAAGATACATAAAGAAAGATGATGAAAAATCTGATGCGTACTGCCAAAACTTGTAAAGTTCAGTACTATTTGCTTAGCCTCATTTTTGGTAAACACTAAAAACTAGAAAAAAACCAAAATCAAAACTCTGTTAATTCATTTATGTTGTTGTTAATTTGGGTTGTTTAAATGTAATGTGAAGCATTGTGTGTAAAAACAAAATACGTGGGAAAACAACTATGTATTACCTAAAGCGGTCTTCAATTCACATCTTCAGCTCGTAATCATAAATAACATACATACATATACATACATATAATATGGAGATATAAACTCTAATATTAGTTTATGTTTCTGTATGTCCTTAATTCGTGTAATTTTTTTTTTTTTTGGGATCATTTTTCGCCGCCACCAAAGCTTTAAATATTTACATAGTAAACTGTGTTCTCAGTAAAAACCAAAAAACCACAAAATTATAAGAAAGATGAAAATTAATTAAATGAAAATTATGTTTAACGACACAAAGACATGAGGTCGGTACAAGATTTGTATAGTAAACTAAATAAAATAAATTGATTAAAACCAAACCGAGAGAAAACCCTGGAAAAAGTTCTTGTTATATGTACATATATAGTATATATAATTGCTATATAAAGCATATAAAGCACGTGTGTGTGTGGCATGTTCGATTTACTAGATTATACTATATACAAATACGATATAATAGCAGCAAAAGAAAGGAAAGAAAATGATGTGGGGTCAATAAATAGCCTAGAAAGAGGAGACTTTTTGGAAAACCGTCGATAGAAAATTCTCGTGCATAAGTTTTTTATTCATGTACAATTGTTGTACAGTTTTTGTGGCTTATTTGTGTATAACAAACTATTAGTGACAAAAGAACTACTACTACTTACTACTAAACTATCATCAAATGTTGATCTATATTTATGTATGTATGTACATTACAAACGGGAGCACTTATGATCTTATTTTCCTGCTATCCTTAAAATATTTTCATTTCAATTGGATTTTGTACTATTTCTTATTTTGACACACACACACACACACCGTATAAAGCGACATCCCTGAACAGAACCTCTTTGAACTGAAAAATGTAAACCCAACAAGAACAAGAACAACAGCTACGATACCTATTTACTGCTATATTGTATGACGTAATGTTACCCACAACACCGACAAAATGAATGAACAACCGACATCAACAACATAAATAATACATACGATACACGTACCACAAAGAGCGTAAAAACCCAACCAAGATCGAACTTCGAAACACTCAACTATTGCCTATATACATACTACTACCAAAAAACAAAAGGGAAACTATACATTACTTATATATACACTTATATACAAACAACTACATACGCAATATTGTATGTCTTTTTTTGTACAGAAAAACAAACGACAACAACATACGATATAACAAGAACTAAGCCTGACAAACAGATAAACATAAATCGTGTATACTTAACGAACCCTCTCTCAGTGTCCTTTCAAAGTGATTTCATTTGTTTTTAAACTATTGAGTTTTACCTAAAAAAGAAGAGAAAGAAACCCCCCCAACTAAATGCAGAATTACTTGGCACACACTTTTCCACTCTCACGCTATAAAATAAATTAAACCTCAGATCAAGTTCTAGTTAAGTTCTAATAACAAAAACAAATTCAAGAACGGTATGACAACATTATATATTATATATATATGAAAAATATGTGCAAAAATAATATTAACAATTGCAAGTAATTTTAATTAGTCGCATAAGCCAAATGTTGGACGGGAAAAAATTCGCCGAAACCGAAACAAAAAATTAAAAACTAAAAGAAAAGCTTGAGCATGGAACACACACATTTGTTTTCTCACCGAAGGCAAGCAAAATTGGTTAGATCCAAAGAAATCTAGTGAAACATATTTTTACATTTTGGGTATTTTATTTAAGCTTAATTTGCTTTTAATATTATTTTTTTAGTATTTTCCAAAGGAGATGCCTTGAGGTTAGAGCGGGATGAGGGAATGAGCTTTCAGGCTTTCGTTGCAACAACTGTCTCGGCCTCTGTCTGACTATGCATACGGTGCGCTTCGAAAATATTAAAACTGATAGTATACAACAATAAAAAATAAAGATATATATAGTGCATGAACAATTCTCAGTTATCCGACACTTGTTAAGGCATTTAAACAACTACATAGTTATGTCGAAGCTTCAACTCACCTACAGTTTCGAAACGCACTGTATGCCTGGCCAGAGAAAAGTCAAAACACACATTTCTCAACGATCCACACTTGGCAAGTCACACATTTTGTAGGAATTCCAATTCTAGGATAAGTTTCAGAAGAATGTTAATGGGGAATCCCCAGCCAGCCAGGCAGAGGGTTCTCTTCCACCCAATGAAAGCCCAAAAACCCGGTTCCAACGTTACCTTTATGTTCCTCAAAGACCCAGACGAATAGTGTAAAAAAATGAGAAACAAACAGTAGGAAAACAAGAAAAATTGCCTTAGGGTTTCAGTAGAAGTATATATAAAGAAAAAATAATAATGAAGTGTGTTAACTTTTATATATCATTTCCCTAATCGGCTGCAAGCAAAACGTGTGACTTTGCCTTATAGGGGGGTGGGAAGGGGGATAGATATGACATCAGCGAAATAATCTAGAAACCAGTAAAAACTACGGGTAACACACATTGAATCATACAAACCAAAAACAACTGAAAGACAGTAAAAAGTATTCTTTAATCCAAAACACACACACACACACGGGGTAGATAGAAATAAATGGAATTTTTTTTGGGGAAACTAATAAATGAAATAAATCAATTAAGTGCCATTCTCAACGACTCAAAATAATGTCTCGAAATTATCCCAAAGAAAATTCCATTTATTTCTGACTGCTTTTTTGTGTAGAAAATGTCTTCAACCGAAAAGCATGACACCAAAAACTGTTTCAAGCTAATCGATGGTATGTCTATGATTTTTAGCAATTTATATATATAAATTATGGTATATACATATGCATAGATAATGAGAATTACGGGAAACTAAAACTAAAACCGAAGAAAACAAACCAATCACAAACAAGTCAACAGGGCACAGCGCTTCTTAACTATATTATTGATTTCGAAATGCCGAAGAACTTTTTCTAAAAACCGAAAACAAACCAAAAAAAACATAACAAAAAACAAAACAAACAAACACAAACCAAGTGAAAAGTGAAAAAACCAACGCTAATCTTAACTATAACTAACTTTTTAAACTAATATTGAAATTGAACCCAACAAAGTGTTCATTAAACTAAAAGAAACCAAACAAAAAAGATGGCATATATGAGTATATATTATGTATGTACTTAAAGGTATACATTTAATAGAAACACAACAATTTTGTATGGCTATGGCAAAAGCAAAAGAAAACCAAAAAAAAAAAAAAACAAACAGAAGATGGTGAAGAAAAAACCCAACAATTTAGTTAAGTAATTAATGATAATGTAAAGAGTTTATTGAATAAATTGGGAGACATACCCCACAAGGGAAAAAAACCAAAAACTTTAAGGAAACTTTCATCAGATTTCTAACGAACTTTACGAATTTCCATGAAAGTAAGAAATTAACAACTCCTGAGCTATCTACTCTAAAGAATCTTCTCTACAACATAAACATGATACATTACTATATACTTAAAATATATAGTACATACATACATACATATATTGTATATGTAATGGATGTGAAGATTGCATAGGCAGACACTTGTTTTTAGCACTAAATGAAAAACTTTTGCGTTACTTTTGTTTGACAAAATACTAATTAAAGAAATTAAATTAATATACATACAAAAACATACTACTATATACATACATACTATATATACATACATTACATATATATACATACATATATATATATATATATAAATACATAAATAGAGTTTTAGATCGAAAAGCGAATGAAAGAAATCCCAAATACCGAAAACACGCAAAATCTCGTCTCATCTCATGGATGTGCTACACTAAATTAGTAACTAAAACTAAACTAAAAAACTAAAACTAAACTATTGTTAAACCATAACACACACACAGACATATAAAAACACATACATTATCTAAATAATTAACAAAAAGAAAAGAAGAGTATAAGCTAAATCAAAGTTGGAGAAGAGGAGCCGATCCGCAGGCAGTTAGAACTCAAGAAGTCCCCGAAAAAATGCAGATAGAAGAGGATGATGATGATGATGTTGATGATGATGATGATGATAAGGCAGCAGAGTCATGCAATCCACACGATCGTTAGTGCAGTATAATAATAAACAACAAATTGTATTATATCTAAGCCAG